CAAGCTACTCATTGACGTTTTTGTTCTGTCTAATCTCTACATTCTTATCTTATTTTAGCCATCTATTCATGTATTATCTACCATATTCTTCTCTGTATCCAGGCCTTACTGCTTCAGTCATAAATCAATTATATTTACCAATTCTAGTTTTCGGAAACATTTTGTGAGCGATCCATAATAGGTGGCATGGATATGTATATTCGGGACTGCATCCATAAATGGCCGTGTCTTCATCAAATTTGAACTGATCTCTTGCCGCCAAGCATCGCCTAGCATCGCGTAGAAAATCCCTAAGCGGCTCGAGGGTTCTAGGGTAGTCTACGGTAAGTGTTGAGTTCTAGAGAGCCCTCTAAACAAGCCATTAGTCTAACCGGCTAAGCGGCCTAGCCGACCTCTCTAGGGCTCTCGAGACTCAGACTTTTTTCCAGATGTCCTGTTCCCGCTGTGCGACTCGACTAGCTACCTATCCCACCGGTTGCAGTACTACACATGTAAGAGCTGGTGGATATAAAGGAAGAATGTGTGGAAGTTCTTCGACCTCAATCAAGGGAGCAACTTGACTCTCGTAGCTTTTTCAAACGAAATACCCCGCCCGCCGCCCGCCGCAACGAAGTTCTTCGCCACCCTCACCCTTCTGCCCACCCTGGCACTGAGTGTGACACTTTCCACATCACCCTGCCCGCAACAGTCATTCAATTGATCGCATGAGGTAGTATCATGGCCATCATTGCAGAGTTTGCACCAAAATCATTCTTCATATTCACTTGCACCATATGTATTAGTATTAATATAATGATCAAGTACAAGAGTGATGAATTGTATATAAGCTAAGAAGCAGTTATAAGCTAGACATGATTATAAGCCAGACACGGGAAAAAGCTAGACACGATTATACTCTAGACCTAGTACACTATGGAACCAAATATCAAAACGCGTCGATACTTCGGGCGGGAGCGAATGGAAGTTTAACATTACTTGAATGTCGGCATTCAACGATACATCAATCGTCTCCGAGCAGACGTGAATCATACATCCCTATATAGATTTTAGTATTGAATATGTAATCGAGTTGAATGACGAACGCATAATTCCGCCGTCTTCCAATCCTCCAAAAACTCGGATACAAAATGTATCTGGAGCAAAAAAATTAACTCAATATGATGCAAGGAGAGGAGATAAAGACTTACGTTGAGCTCCTGGTCGATGGGATCCCCGAGGTACTCTGACCCAGTGATGGCTTTCATTAGCCTCCTAGATCTATAAGCGGCATCTGACATCCTGACACCCTCCTCAATCTCAGCTCCTTCACCAATGGGTGGACCGCGTCCGCGTAGATATCTAGTGACGGATTTTAGGAAGTCCAGTTGAAACGTGATAGTGGAGTCGCTGGCTTCATTGGTGTCTGCCATGGTCGAGATCCGGATTTTCGATATAACCTGTTCCGGGTGAGTAATTATCCTCCCGGCACAAATGTGATTGAGAATCGACAGGGTGTTCGTGAGTGTTGAGAAAAACTAGTAGGGATATCAACGTCATAGAATTGTCAGATGCAAAATAAGAGGTACCTGGTCGAGATCTGCAGGAAAGGCTTTCTCAAAGCCATCCTTCATAGCGGTGATTATGGGGTGTGCTTCTACATCTTGATGGCGTGGGGTCCCGAACAGGAAGGAAGAAATTAGCTGTTTGGTCGTCAGATCAATAAAAGCCTTGCAGTGGGATCCTTCTAGACGTGAACGAAGGAGGGATAGCTACGACAGAAAAAGAAGTCAGATTTTGTGAGACGAGGTGAAAGAACATTGGCACAGACCGATGTGGTTGGGATATGTTCGATTATCATTGCTGCGGGGTCAGTGCCTGGTTTCAAAGACGACACCTCTGGTGGTGGCCATGTGTCTAGGCGAGTCTTGATATTTGGAGACATTTTATGAATGAAGGAGAGGTCTGTTGCCGCATCGAAGCCATGGATCATTAGAAGCACGAGATAGGGTGATATTGGTAGAAAGGTCAGGCGATGAAGAAGAGATAACCCGATAACAAATCCTAAGGATTTGAAATGGGCAGTGTCTTGAGGCGAAAGAGGATAATCATAAAGCACAGGCATGTAGAGGTCTCCTGATATGTGGAGCCAAGAATCGTCACTGGAGGTAATTATTTTGATTACTTGAGCCCACGTGGAACGCAAAGGACCATCGCCGACACTGGGCCCCCTGTAGATGATGATAAGCGGCTTTGGCAGTCAAGAAAATCGTAAATCACATACACATCAATATGTAGTCGATTACCAAACAAAGCTTCGAGCGTAAAGTTTTTCACGTGAACTCCTGTAGGAATAGCAGGCGGTTCTTGATTGTTTGCACAACAGAGCATGTTTGCCAAGAGAATATCTGCTGCTTGTGTTACTGTAGGAGCCCGGATGATGAGTTCCTGATTGTATTGAAGATCGGCGAGGTGGGCGTTGGCTTTCTGCTCAAATGCAATGTAGCTTGCCTGATCTTGTTCATTCAAGTGAGATACAGGGGGACTGGAGTCGATAATCATGACAGGTGCGGACACAGGAACAGGAGCCGATATAGCTGGTATGGTAGCAAAGACACCTGACACTGGAGCAGGCGTGGCGTGAGAGGGAGGGGTCACAAAAACCGAGGACAGAGGAGACAAGGATCGAGGAGGCATGGTAGCAGATGGCGGGACTGAGTTGTTGAGAATAATAGCGATTTGGTCTGGCGACATGGTGAATGCAGGAAACGCTCGTGTTGGTGGTGAAAAGTTAAGGAATGGGGACTCTGGTGGTGTAGTGTCATCGTCTTCTACAATAGCAGGCTCTGGGGATGTGAGAAGAGCAGGAGTCAATGGAGTCGATGGAAAGGCAGGCGCGGGTGCAGACGTTGATGGTAGCAAGAGGGGGGCTGGGCTGAGGACGCATCCATTACAGTTGGGCTCTAGATCCCCTTGCTCGTTGAGAATAGGCGTCATGAATCCATTCCAAAGGCGCCGGGACAGACAAATATGACGTCCAAACCCCGTGCCAGCTGGAAAAGGCCCACTGATGATCTCTTGTACTGGTACTGAAAAGAAGGAAATCAGCACAAGCAGGTGAGTGCAGTGACACTGTACTTACATATAAACAAGACATAGCGAGCCACATTGGTCTCGTCAGGGTCAACATACTGAGGTAGTCGCTTGACCTTGTGTACAAGATCGGCGAAAGTCATGAATGCGAGAGCTTCTTCAGGGATGTGAAGAAGAGCTCCAGTGCCGGATCGAGAGGCTTGCCTGGCAACCCAGATGTTCCATGGATAAGGTAAGAGATTTGCGTGGGGTTGAGAGGAGGGTGAAGATTGTGGAGTGTTTGGCAGGCGTGTGAGGGATGCAGTTTGGAAATGCGAGTTTAGCGCCTCATGGAATACGGGAGCGACCGTGTCACTGGGGCGACCTTCATGCGTGAAATTAAAGGCGAGCTGCAGCCCTTTGGCTCGTTGAATGAAGGACGGCATCTTTGCATCAGCTGGGCTTCTCATCGCCTTAAACACCCCGTAATTGGTGGTTGTGACGGAGGGATAGGGCTATGAAATACTTGTTTTAGCACAAAAACGTTTGATAGAAGAGTGTAGATGTACCGGTTCTGGATGAATACAAACTACGAAATTGTAGCGTTGAGGAGTATTATCAGCGTATGTGGAAGAGGCTGTTGCGCGTCGCCGGCCTCTGCGATTGCTCGGGAGGTCAGCATTGCCACCTCCGCGACTGCGACCTCGTGCTTGATTGCTCGGGATGTAAGGTGCCATGGGTAGAGCAGAGGGGTTATACGAGACACCTATGGTTCTGGAGGGACCGATAGGGTTGGGCGTAGGAGCTCGTCGTTGATAGGATGTCACTCTGGACCCATTCACATTTTGACTGGCTGAATGATTCTGTCAGACGGGGGTGTAAAATATATACAAAAAAACATACCGGAAGTAGACAGGACTGCAGGAGCATTACTTGAAGACGCCCAGGGAGGAAAAGAAGCAGAAGATGAAGACGAAGCTGGGGCTGCCAAGGGTGCAGACGAAAGAGGAGTTGCTTGTGTTATTGGGTGCGAAAAATATGCCTGGTGGCAATTGGAGCAGTTTGAACGGGACGTTGGAATTGTATCGTTCTTGAAAGAAATGTTAAAGAAAGATTCGTGTTGGTGACTCGAAAAGACTCACACATAAGAAAAAATCAGAGCTTTCAGCACATAGTCGTGGTGGGAGGGATGTGTGCCATATGGAGCCGTGGCCGCAGGCGCACTCTGTTGAAGGAGGGCCAGGATAAGGTAAGAAAGAGGAGCAGGAGCAGTGTCCCTGTCGGCATGGCGGGGGATGGCTGGCATCCGACATGGGGGTGTCGTAAAAGGAAAGGAAAAGAATAAAACCTGCTTGGATTCCCCAAAGATCAGCCTATGACGGCGCCAAGGAGAGAAGGAGAAAGAACACTCACAGAGGCATATGCATAGATAAAATTCAGAGTGTAACAGAAACTAGGCAACCAAAACGAGAGGGAAGATGTTGCAAAGGTCAACAAGTCCAACGTCACTCATTGTTGAACATGATGGGATCAACTCGGACCGTTGAAAGCGAAAGCGGGTCCGAAAACACATCAAACCGAAAACATTGGTTCACGAAAACGAACTGATGGCTTGAAAAACATGATCATACGCTTACAAACGAAATCCAGACGAAATCTCAAAACAAGGTCACTCTATTAAGAACAAAATAATTTTGTCCGGTGAGGCCCTTCATAAAGGAGGAGTGTGGCTTGGGGTGTATGAATAAACCATGATCCAAGCAAAATCTGGTGTTGGGCCGGTGTAAAAAAAAAGTTGTATGTAGCTAATTAAGCTCTGTGCCTGGGAGTCGAACACAGCTTCGCGCGGTACCTGGACCATGGTAGGATTTGTACATAAAGATTGCGAAAGAGAGTCGAGTTTCTGGGATGCATTCTCCCGATCAAAAATGTACACCTCGATAACCATATAGTTCTCTGCCTGGGATTTGAACCCAGTTCTTGTACGAGGGATTACCCAGGATGATAGGCGCGTGTACCCCCAATGTACTAGCAGAGACGTATACCTTCAGAAAGAATTTGGAATTTTCAGCAGATACAGCGGAGCCATGATTTAAAAAAAAAATGTCTCCCGAACGCAAGCCATTACTTATCTCTCTGCCTGGGAGTTGAACCCAGCTCTCGCGCCACCATACAAGGGATTACAAATGGCATGATATACGCATATACTCCCGATGTACTAGCAGAGACATAATGATGCACCTTCAAGGGAAAGAAATTCTGACGTACAGAGTTGTGATTCAAAAAGTGTCTATAGAATCACCACGCGGTTATTACGCACCCTCTTCCTGGAAGTTGAACCCAGCTCTCGCGCGAGCATTTCAAAAGAACATTCCGCATGATAGGCGCACGTATTTCCGATGTAATAGCAGAGACATAATGATACACCTTCAAGGGAAATAAATATGAATTTTTCAGAGGTACGGAGTTGTGATTCAAAAAATATGTGGAATTACCACGCGGATATCACCTACTCTCTGCCTGGGAGTTGAACCCAGCTCTCGCGCCACCACAAAGGAACTCTCGGCATGATAGGCGCGCGTATTGCCGATGTACTAGCAGAGACATAGTGATACACCCTCAAGGGAAAGAAATATAGAATTTTCAGACCTTCGGAGTTCGGATTCAAAAAAGGCTGTCATAACCACGTGATCTCTCTGTCTGGGAGTCGAACCCAGCTCTCGCGCCACCATAGGAGAGAATCTGGGATATAGATGATATGCGCGTGTACTCCCGATGTACCAGCAGAGACATAATGATACACCTTCAAGGGAAAGAAATATGGATTTTTCATACGTACGGAGGAGCTTAATTCTGATTCAAAAACTGTCTATATCACCACCCAATTATCTCTCTGCCTGGGAGTCGAACCCAGCTCTCGCGCCACTTTAAAATCGGTGGTATCGATGATACTATGCGCGTGTACTCCCGATGTACCAGCAGAGACATATATTATGCCTTCAAAGACGAAGACAAAATTTGGGATTGTGAAGAGGTGCGAGCGCCCGTTCGATCGTGGAGAAAAAAGAAAACAAACGCACATCTGCAACATCTCTCTGCCTGGGAGTCGAACCCAGCTTTCGCGCGAAATACATGCTTCCGAGGCACCGGTTATGACAGGCGCGTGTACTAACCGATATACTAGTAAAGAGAATGAATGCATGAAGGGGTATGGGGAGTCATCATACGGTATGCACAAGGAGGTCACTGGCAGCTGAACTTTCACTGGCAAAAAGGTGATTTTGTCGATGCAGCCGTCAAGGTATATAGGAAGTTACTTGTACTTACCAGCAAAAGCAGAGAGTTACGAGGACTCGGAGAGGGAGCAATCGTGAGTCAGTGGGTCTGATGAAAGTCCCCTTCCAAAAGATTTCATCTAACGCGTGATATCATCTCTCTGCCCGGGACTCGAACCCAGCTTTCGCGTGGTAAGCGTATAACGTGCTGATAGGCGCATGTACTACAGTATCCGATATACTAGCAAAGAGGACAAAAGGGATTGAAGGTTCGCAGATCAATATGCATGGATAGTGAGTATATGGTAGAAATTTTACATTTCTCCAGTGGCTCTCTGCCTGAGACCCAGCTTTCGTGTGATGTACTAATACACATTACAAGCTACCATTGACGACAGGCGCGTGTACTGACCGATATATATATATTATACTACCAAAGAGCACGAAAACATTCCGGTGTTTTTTGGAACAGATGTGCACCCCTGAAACGGCGGAACTAAAAAAAAAATCAGCAATCATAAAAGCCTATCTCTCTGCCTGGGAGTCGAACCCAGCTTTCGCGCGGAATCACAATACTCACTATCGCATGACAGGCACGTGTACTAACCGATATACTAGCAAAGAGTACAACAGGGACGGCGGGTTCATGCATATCGGGGGACTATCTGTAGCCGGACAAAAACTGATGACAACGCAATTCGTAACTCTCTGCCTGGGAGTTGAACCCAGTTTTCGCGCGGAATCTGTTATCGTCGGCGATGACAGGCGCGTGTACTGACCGATATACGAGCAAAGAGGACACAAGGGATCGAGGATTCACAGATCCATATGCATGGAGAGTGAGTACCTGGCACTGGAAAAACTACATTTTTCCGGTGGCTCTCTGCCTGAGAGCACCCAACTTTCGCGCGGTGTAATATACATCACAGGCTACCATGCATGACAGGCGCGTGTACGCAACTGATAAATATTATACTACCAAAGAGCACGAAAACATTCTGATGTTTTTTGGAACAGTATATGCACCCCTGAAACAGCGGAATAAAAAGCGGGTATATTTAAAGAACTATCTTTCAGATTCTCTCTGCCTGGGAGTCGAACCCAGCTTTTGCGCGGTATTTGATATGTTTTCGCCGCGGTATGACAGGCGCGTGTACTAACCGATATACTAGCAAAGAGGATGGTAGAAACTGCAGTTTCATGCATATAGGGTGACTTTCTGCAGCCGGACAAAAAACATATAATAGAAAACTTCTGGACTCTCTGCCTGGGAGTCGAACCCAGCTTTCGCGCGGTATAATATGATATTTGACGTATGACAGGCGCGTGTACTAACTGATATACTAGCAAAGAGTACAAAAGGGACCGCGGGTTCACGCATATCGGTCCAGGGCGACTATCTGCAGCCAGACAAAAAATTGAAATGCTAGAAAAATTCCGGACTCTGCCTGGGAGTCGAACCCAATTTTCGCGCAGAATCTGTTATCGTCGGCGATGACAGGCTGTGTACTGACCGATATGCGAGCAAAGCATATGAAAGGGACCGCGGGTTCATGCATATCGGGCGACCGTCTACAGCCTGAGCCGGACAAAAACTGGGGGATCAAATCTTCCACAGCTCTCTGCCTGGGAGTCGAACCCAGTTTTCGCGCGGAAGTTTGGCCAGAGTGATGACAGGCGCGTGTACTAACCGATGTACGAGCAAAGAGGACAGAAGGGATCGAGGGTTTGTGGATGTAATGCATATCTCGAGTGGCCTGAGTGAGAAAAGGCACAAAATTAGTCAACATCTCTCTGCCTGGGAGTTGAACCCAGCTTTCGCGCGCTCGATGATGTAGTCGTGGGTGATGACAGGCGCGTGTACTGACCGATATACGAGCAGAGAGGACGGAAGGGATCGAGGGTTCGTGGATGTATGCTTAGCTCGAGTGGCCTGAGTGAGAAAAAAAAACATGCAATGGTCCTTAACTCTCTGCCTGGGAGTCGAACCCAGCTTTCGCGCGAGACGTTGAGGAGAAACTGATGACAGGCGCGTGTACTAACCGATATAATAGCAAAGAAGACGAAAGGAAGGGGCGGTTCGTACATTCGATATACGACATATGGACATCTTTTTTTGAGTGAAAAAGATGTGAAGATAAAACACTTGGAAGCTCTCTGCCTGGGAGTCGAACCCAGCTTTCGCGCGATAAGGAACAAAGGTTACTTACAGATGACAGGCGCGTGTACTAACCAATATACTAGCAAAGAGGACGCAAGGAAGCGGGGGTTCGTATATTCGATATACGACATATGTACATCTTTTGTTGAGTGAAAAAGATAGGAAGATTAAACTCTGTGGCGGTTCGTACATTCGATATACGACATATGTACTTTTTTTTTTTTGAATAAAAAGGATGTAAGGATTAAACTTGATCGGAACTCTCTGCCTGGGAGTCGAACCCAGCTTTCGCGCGCGCGACGTTATGGAAATTCATGGCCGTGACAGGCGCGTGTACTAACCGATATACTAGCAAAGAAGGCGAAAGGGAAGGGTTTGATGACGTGGTGTGGTGCTGTGCCGTCTATTGAAGTGCACTGAAGTCCGAGTCATAGAATAGACAGACAGCTTGGCACCCGGCCACAGGGAATACCCGGCCCCACCCCACGCTAGCCTTGGAGTGGACGTCGGAGTCTAAGTTGGATGTCGAGAATGGTGTTGGGCTCCACGTCGACGAACGTGTCGCTGGTCATCCAATTGCCACGAACGCTCGCAGTGCATCAAAGAGCGGTGATAGGAAATATACGTGCCCGGCGGACTGATGGCCCTCTTGCTGGCTCCAAGTTGAAGCAGTTGTGTGTTCCGACGTGAGGTGCGTAAGACCCGGCCCGGCGTGAGATCCGCAAATTTGGCCCCCAGACTCCGAGGGTCACTGCCCAATTTACAAGATACACCATAATTATTATTATCCATACTACACTAACTGTAACACCACACACACTAGGCTACTACGGCGATGATGGCCACAACCCTCTCGCCCTCGCCCTCCTCCTCCCTCTCCTCCGGCTCAGCAGGCTCAACGCGCTCCCGCCTTTCATTCCTGACCGTGTCATCCTCATCTACGTTCTCTGATGTCTCCATGTCCTCGAGTCTCCCGTCCCCCCCGGGGAGTGGTGCAAAGACACACGCATTCTTCGCGTCGCCATTCCCCACTAGGCCTCCATCGCCCCTCCTACAATCCAAACCGCAGCACGACGAAGAAGAAAGGGAGAGAAGGGAAGGGGGAATAAAGACGAGTTCGTTCTTCAGTATACCCGCGATCGCGATAGACGAGTCCACGCCTACGGTTACTACACCTACTTTCGAGCTTAAACGCAATTTTGGGCCTGAGGGAGAGCCGACGCCCCGTCCGAGGGACCTGGAGCCGGATCTGAGGAAACTTGCGGCGTTCCCGCCTACGCCGCCTGCGCATCCTAATTTCTCCTCGCATTACAGAGCACCGTCACCGACGACGCCAACGCCGGTGTACGCCCCGCCCCCATCACTCGCATCCGATGCGGACGAGCCCTCCGCGGGCCACATCATTTCCTCATCGCACTCCCAACCGAGCCACGCATCCACGTCCCCACTCCCCTTCCGCTCCCCCTCCCCTTCTCCCGGTACCCCCACCCCCAACACAAGCTCAAGTTCAAGTTCCAGCACAACGACGCTGAGGCTCCTCAAGCCCCTCGGCCACGGCGCATTCTCCAGCGTCTGGCTCGCCGACGACCTCTCCCCCGTCCCTCTCGTCCTCCGCTCCCGCCGGAGTTTACGCGATCTGCGCCGGCAGGCGTCCCTCAAGTCGCCCTTCCTCAAGTCCCCCAATTCCAAATCAGCGGGAGGTGTGGTGAGAGCGGGATCTCTGGGCTCGTTGCGGAGGCTGAGGGCCCGCGTCCCGGGGACGAGGCCGATACGGAGTATGGATGTGGGTAATGGGGAGGGGGAGAGGGAGAGGGAGGTGTTGTCGTCCAGTCTTTCCCGCGCGTCGTCGACGTCTTCCAATGCGTCTTCGACTGCGAATCGGCAGTTGACGATATCGATTGCGGAGCCTGAGGAGCCCTCCTCGCTCGGTACGCCTAGTAGTGGATTCGGAATCGGAAGTGGTGGTGGGGGGAGAAGTGGGGGATTGAGCCGGAGCCCGAGCGCGAAGAGCAGGCTGGTGGCGGTTAAGATGACTGTGCGTGGTGGAGGAGAGGGGGAGGCGGACGAAGAGGAGAGGGAGAGGACGAGGGTGGCGTTTGTTAGGGAGGTTGAGGTGTTGCGCGTGAGTGCTTCTTTCTTTTCATTTTCATTTTCATTTTATGCTTTTATGCTTTTATGCTTTAATACGGCGGCGGGGGCTTCTCTGCTTTTAACGTTTTGATATGGTGTGCTTGCCGCTGCAGCGTGGGGGCCCAGAAGGCTCCGCTTAGTGGCATGCGGCGTTTCTCATCCGCATCTGCATCAGACCCTGTCCTTGTGTCGATGACAGTGACTTGACTTGTGCAAAACATTATGTCGTGCGGCCGTAATCCCCGCATCGGCCCTTTGCTGCCCAGGCCCTACCACCCCTCCTCCCTCCTCTTCTCGCAACCCAATACTAACGCCCCCTCTCTGTCCCCACAGCATATATCCCACCCCAACATAACCCCCCTCCTAGCGCACCTCAGCACCCCCTCGCACCACGTCCTCGTCCTCCCCTTCCTCCCAGGCGGGGACCTCCTCGCCCTCGTCAACTCCGACGCCGCGTGGTCCCGCCTCCGCGAGAGCGTGTTGCAGAGGGTGTGGGTGGAGCTTTGTAGTGCCGTCGGGTGGATGCACGGGGTCGGGCTGGTGCATCGGGATATAAAGCTCGAGAGTGCGTCTTCTCCTCTCCCCTTTGCTCCATAGCGCATTGCTGACGAAACATATATATTACGCAGATATACTTCTAACGACGACACTCCTCACGTCCCCCGTGCCCCCCGACGCCCCCGCACCGACACTCGAGGACCTCCCCCCGCCCCCGGCGCCCCTCGTGAAACTGACGGACTTTGGGCTCTCCCGCTTCGTCGATATACGCTCGGAGGCGGAACGCGTGAGGGACCGCGCGGCGCGTCGGGCGGCTAGGGTCGACGAGTTCGGCGTGCGGATGAATAACGGGGGAGAGACAGAGGAGGAGGAGGAGGAAGAAGAGGAGGAGGACGGCCCATTACTGTCGACGCGGTGCGGGAGCGAGGCGTACGCCGCGCCGGAGCTCGTCATGGGGGGCGGTGGGGCGCCGCCCGCTGCTGCCCCTTCTCCCTTACCCCCCGCTCCCGCTCCCACAACAACAACCACAACGACAACTGGCGCGCCAGCGCTCACCCGCCGCAAAGCGACGAAAAGCAAGAAACCGGGCGTCTACGACGCGCGCGAGACGGACGCGTGGGCGTGTGGGGTCGTGCTGTATGCGCTTGTGGGGCGGAGACTGCCGTTTGGGGAGGGCGTGGCGGCTCCCGGCGTCGGGGGGATCACGAGGGACGGGGAAGGGCAGGGACAGGGACAGGGGGGAGGGGAGGGGAGGAGGGGGGGCAGGATGGCGAGGAGGGCGTGGTTGATGCGGATCGCGAGGGGGGAGTATGAGTGGCCTGAGGCCGGGGCCTCTTCTGCCCCACATGATCAGGCGCCGGGGGAGGGGAGTCGAGCGCGGGAAGAGGACTTGGACATGGAGTTGGTGGGGCCGACGCTGGCGCTGTCCACTGGTGCGCGGCGTGTTGTTGAGCGCCTGCTTGTGCGCGACCCGAGGCGGAGGGCGAGGATAGGCGAGCTGTGGGGGGATACGTGGATGGGCGGGGACGGGGTGTTTTCTGCTTCTCTTGCTGTGGAGGGGAGGAGCCCGGATGGGCGGGCGTCGCCTAGTTGGCGGTGGGAGGACCTTGATGATGGGTATGGGGAGGGGGGGGGGGGGGAAGAAGGGCAAGGGGAGGAGGGGGAGGGCATGGAAGAAGGGGAGATGGGGGAAGAGGAGATGGAGCGCGCGCTTGAGGCGGCGGAGAGGGAGGTGGATGTTGGGGGGTGGTTGGTTGATTCTGAAGGGATCGGGGAGATTGCGAGGAGGGAGGTCGTGTGAGGGCCGTGCTTGAACGACAAAAACAACTATACCGGGAGGGAGGGGGGGGGGGGTGGGGTGGAGGTTGGGGCCGTGTGAGGCGACGGGCGCCTAGCGGAGATGGAAGAGCGGATGCACGCAGAAGTCATGCGGACGCGGAACCGGGGGGGACGAGCCTCCGCTGTCTGTGCCCGAAGGGGATGCAGACGCGAGATGGCGGCCTCGTGATGCGGATGTGTGATCCTCGGCAATTGCATTCCTGCGCCACATAATGCACGCACGCACGCTTCCGGGTTCCGATGCCTGAGCACGTGGAAACCGAGGACGAGAAATGATAAACGAGGAAGAGGAAGAGGAAGAAGAAGAAGAAGAGGAACACATGCGACACCCTTATTTATTCCCCACCCGCCCACCGCGCACTGGTTCGAAAACGCACCGAGACACGGTGCTTGTGAAGAAGATATAATGTCTATCTGCCGGCTCTCCCCATCCCCACCCCCGCCATTCGCGTTCTCCCCGGCCTAATTGAATTGTGCTTTAACATTCTGGCGGCCCTTTTCCGCCTCCCCTTCCCCTGTGCATATTCCATGTTCCGAGGTCCCGTACACACTGTATTCCCCTTCCCCTCCCCCCCATTCTATATTCGCTTATGGCTTCGATTCGTATACTTATTAATGCCGTGGCGCTGTAGCCTTTTGCTGTTGTTTTAGCTGTATACATTCGATGTGTAGAAGTGTAGAAAACTTGACGAGTGTAGAGTATTTTAATATTCGTTGTACATGGGTCGGCCCTTCTAGTTCATGATAATATACCCCTGATTCAAATCGGTGTGCGGGGTTGAGTGTGACGGTTTGTGGACGCGACGCGACGAGCCGTGTGGTGTGTGTGACATGCGCGTTTGCCGAGTGGGCGTTACGGCCCTTACGTCGATAGGGGGTTCTTGCTTCTTACCCCACAGCGTGCGGTATGTGCGTGGCCGTTTCCTAGACTCCCGGCCGTGACGACCATACGCATCTACCACAAGAATGAATGAGGCTCCATTCTCTCATTCTCAATCCGAGCCGGTCTGCTTGTTGCATTTGTTCCTTGCTCTTGAAACTCTTTGCGACAATTTGCACATCTTACTAGGCTTGAACTGGAAGATCTGAATCGCGCCGCTATCCCTGGGCTTCGTTCGTGCACCGTGCTCCAGGGCTAACAACAATTCTGAACTAGGTCAGATCGTGAACTTGATCTGGTCTTGTTCTCGCTCCGACAACTGAGTTCCAGCCTCGCAGACATGACGGCAAATGGGGTTGCTACTGACTTGCCTCTCAAGATCCTACCTAGGTACCCTAGGACTGTTTCCAAACCTCAAAGTTCAAGGTCCCTGTTTTGGCGGACGGAGCAATCGCGGTATCCTGGATATTTGCGTACTAGCCCGCGTGCTGTGCCTCGGTCTGAGGCTGTGT